CTCAATGGATCGCTGAGGTGCGCAAACCGTCACACCACGGTAAGGTCCAGTCTCTTCGTGACGGCCAACACCGACCAACACCGCTGGTCACACTTCGGATGGCCTACAAAAACCACCGTATTCATTCAAAACGATCGACAAAACTAGTTTTTCAGTGTTGAATGCGAAAAAAGGATGTGAAACTCGTTAAGATGCCACAAAGTGTCGGGTGAAAAGTCTATTGAAGAACATATGACTTTCGCAGCCATCTACTCACGCAGTCACTCAAGGGGTTTTCCACGATCTGGTAAAAGCAGTGTATTGAACAGGAGTAATCGGCTGGATCGAGGTTACACTACATGTGTCAAAACAGTTCCAATTTATGATGTCCTACAAATGAAGTGTGTGAAACAAGACAGATTTTCAGATACCTGTATTTCCGCAACGATTTCCGCACCATCAGGGAAACATTAGTAGACAAAAGAGTGCCTTCCGATCCGAAAATTATTAGCACTAGGAGAAATAGGGGATCCCCAGGAGAAACGGCCTGTCAGCCACCATAAGGAGGCACTTAGTGATAAGCACCAACTGCATTTTCATATGCTCCTTCAACGTGCCTATTTACGGTGCTCTACGAGAGCGACGCCGCGCCAGTGCATTGAATTGGAAATGAAAGCTTCAACCTCAACCGGGTATCGTAGTCACTGACCAGTTTTCTTGCTGACTCCCAAAACCTTATCGGATACGATCGAGTGTACCATCGTTTTGTTGTCGGAGGACTAGTCAGCAAAAAACGGGACAGAAAGCTGGCTCTGCTGCCAGCGGTTCTGAAGCCGTTAAAAACCACGTCGCATTATAAAAACCATGGAGCATGTAATTCAGTAGTTAAATTCGATGGTTTTCAAGCAACACCAAAGTGCAATCATGGGCATCACCGGAATCTTTTTGATCAATTTTCGGAAGCATCGTGACTCGCCGGTCGAACATATATTGCAAGACAAAGTAAAAGATTTCGCGAGATAAGTGAGCAGAGTCAGTTGGGTGCATGTTTTCATAAATTTCCAAGGCGTGTTGACGAGATCTCGGGCCCCCAGTAGATAATTACCGCACGGAACCGTAACTGGGTGGCTGACCTACCCAACGTAGTTTTAACAGCTAAAGAGAGGTGAACCCAATCTTGATGGAACGTGCTTTCACTCCGCTGCTAGCTTCATGAGCAGTCTTGTAAATACAAGGGATATTTCATCGTAAAGAATTCACCAGAAATCGACCACTTTCGATGGCAGGGGAGCGCAGATTACTGTTACTTCAAAAACCTTAAAGCTGATCGAAATAAGATATAGCAAGATGCAAACTAAAATGTATGAGTTTTGTAGCCTGACTTCATTGAATCAATTCAAATGAGCAAACCAAAGAGAGAAATCATTTTTGTTGAGAGTCGACACATTTGTTATACTGACTGACAGCAACACAAAAAAAACTAGCATCAAACTGATTTGAAGTCCTTAGGCTTCACCCAATCTAAGGATAACTACCCACAGGCAAACGTTCGGTGGACTTCTTGCTCATCTATAACGGATATCCCGTTGTATTTCAATTGAATTAAACCACGACTACCCATTTTAAACAGTATCCATTTTCACCACCAGCGGCAGCAACAAATCAGTACCAGACACCTGCTCTTTATCGCCGCACGTCCGTATCCATTGAGACCGAGGAAACTCCTCATGTGTGCAGAGCCTGTCAGTTTCCCCTAAATACCTACACTCTTAGTTAAATGTACTCCGGATATATACAAATAATGAAGATTTAGAACTTCCGAGAGACTAAGGTCTGCAAACGGGTCGACATGGGTTCCCAAAGAACTAATTCCATGGGTCACTCGGAAAATAAAACATAATGGCCAATGTATGGGAACCAACCTGACGCTTGAATCCACTAGTAGCTGAAGGGTTGTTCGCCATCTGGAAGAGTAATCATGTAGGAGAATTTCGACAGTATGCTGGGGCAAAACAGAAAAGCCGAAATAATGAAAGTACTTGGTTTATTTTTGCACATTCGGAACAGCGAAAGGAGAGCCGCACGTAGCACACAACGGACTGAATTCACAAAATACTGACAAGCACACAGAACAGACGTATCCAATGTCAATCAAACGACGGTGGCAGAAACACGCTGCACGAAAGTCAACGCCGGTACTGAAGCCACTAGAACGGAGATCTGGGAGTAAGAGCTTGGGTCTCAAAGAGGGCGATGGTAAGAACACTGACAGCAAATACTGTAACAACCCTTTGGTATTGGGGATATGGAGGTAAATTCCACCGGTCAGCTCGGCTGCTTGTTGGAGGAGGCTGGAGTGTTTTATATGCTTGGAAGAAAAATTGGAATCGCGTGGCAAGGAGGAATCAGTAGACGGGACCAACGGTAAGACGCACACATCAATACACACCCGTAGTTTCTGAGCGGTAAAGACAGCGTTCATCAAGGCTAAGTATTGAGAAGGACTATCTTCACCGGCCCTCACGACCAGCATCCGAGCGGAAACCTTATCTGCAATATCCAACGCTTCCACACCAGAATTGATGTTCAATTCCTCGTCGTACCGCTTCGTTGGTTGCAAGTCACGACATGTGCGGACATAATAACACAAGCCTTTCGCTATTCCACTGGCAAGCCTCACGCTAGTTCCAGAAGACTCAGTAGAGGCGATACGCCTTAAAATCTGCCGTCTGACGTAATCGTTCATGAACCCCAGCAAATCATACTGTCCATCACGCTGCGCGTCTGTGTTTGGCTTTGGTAGAGACTGAGACGCAGGCCACATTATTTCTGCAGATTCCGGAGTGACACCAATTATCACCAGCTCATTCATCGGTGAAAACATCAAATGTAGATTGGAAAATCCTAAAACGGCTTCAGTACATTGTGGCAGTGACATATCTTCAGTTTCGCATAATCCCCACCAACTTGGGGTTACATCCATCACAATGATTAATACCGATTTATGTTCCATGATGGCAAGTGGTCCTATTGCGAAAGCAGTTATGCTGAGAAATCCAAAATCAACTGAACCAAAACCTTCTCGAAATCTTCGACCGTTACGGCGACACGGGATTCGGACTTTGCAGCTGCTGCCGATCGCGAAAAAGCTTCTGAAATCATTTTGAGAGAGAGCTCAATGTTATTACCTTCAATGTATAGCTTTGCTAAATATTCACAACCAGCAAGGGCTTCAGAAGTTACTGCAAAAAACTTACTGGCCAACAGAGAAACCACAGTGTTACTTTTAGTCTTTTGGTCCGTAAAAAGCGATCTTAGGAGAAGCTGTGTTACTTTATCCTGGAAACACACGCTATGGACTCAGAAAGACAACCAACCATGCATATAGCGCCATGTGTGAATCCGCAGTCAGCAACCAGCCTACAATACACGCCGAAATCTGAGGACGTTCATTGGTCGAGGTCACGGACTCACGGATTGACACACAGGATCGAGTCTTTTGCCCAAGTTTCCAGGGTCGGTTTGTGCTTGTCGGTCAGTGGCTGTCGTTCACCTGAAAGGCACAAGTGAAAAAGGGTGTATCTGTAATGTCTGTAATCCATTGTCACATTTACCATTCTTCCTGAACTTGAACCACACTTTGTAACTGTCGTTCACATTGTATCATGACGTTTGTTTTAATGTTACGAATACACAATTTTCCGGCGCGACCTGCTGACTTCTTGCTGAACGACTGTATTTACGCCCGTTGAACTGTTTGTTGACTGTTGAACCAGTGGGACTAAATCTCTGTGTTTGTGTCAACTGTTAAACGTCACAATAAATCCCTGTGACACTTTTTAGCCGTGAATAATTTTCCTACCGTGGAATATTTCACTCACACGGAGCCATCTGCAGGAAATCTCGACGAGTGAATATTTTCCTCTCACAGCCAGTTACTGCATTCAGATCGGTGTAGTGGACTACTGAACCTACGCACTCGTGAGTCCCCATTTGACTACTCATTCCTTTCCTATTGTGATTTTTGTGATTTTGCATTGGTTACTTTTGCTTGTTAATTTATCCGAA